TTAGTTTTTCTAGTGTTTTAAACAGGAAGGTGTGCAGTATTTTGTTAAATGCTTTTTCTGCATCTATTGAGATGATCATATAATTCTTGTTTTTAAGTCTATTAATAAGATGAATTACGTTTATTGATTTCCATATGTTGAACCAACACTGCATCCCTGGGATGAATCCCACTTGATTGTGGTGCACTATCTTTTTAATGTTTTTGTATGAGATTTGCCAGAATTTTATTGAGAATTTTTGCATCTGTGTTCATCAGGGATATTGGTCTGAAGTTTTCTTTCTTTGATGTGTCTTTGTCTGGTTTTGGTATCAGGGTGATATTAGCCTCATAGAATGAATTCGGAAGGATTTCCTCCTTTTCTATTTCATGGAATACTTTGAGGATTATTGGTATTAATTCTTCTTTGAAAGTCTTGTAGAACTCAGCTGAGAATCCATCTGGTCCTGGGCTTTACTTGGTTGGTAGGCTTTTGATGGCGTTTTCTATTTTATTACTTGAAATTGATCTGTTTAAATCATATATGACCTCCTCATTCAGTTTGAGTAGGTCATATGTCTCTAGAAATTTGTCAATGTCTTTGATATTTTCTATTTTTTTCGAGTATAAATTTTCAAAATAGTTTCTACTTATCTTCTGTATTTGACATGTCCATTGTGTGATATTTCCTTCTTCATATTTCACTTCAGTAATTTGAGTTTTCTCTCTTTTTTCCACATTAGCACAGCCAGTGGGTTATCTATTTTATTTATTTTTTCAAAGAACCAACTTTTTGTTTTGTCAATTTTTTCAATTATTTCTTTTGTTTCGATTTCATTAATTTCAGCTCTGATTTTAATTATTTCCTGTCTTCTACTGCTTTGGGTATTGATTTGTTCTTCTTTTTCTAGGGCTTTGAGATATAGTGTTAGGTCATTTATTTGTTGACTTTTTATTTTTTTAATGAATGTACCCAATGCAATAAACTTTCCTCTTAGTAATGCCTAGCAATTAGAGAAATGCAAATCAAAACCACTCTAAGATTTTATCTCACTCCTGTCAGAATGGCAATCATCAASAATACAGGCCACAATAAATGTTGGTGAGGATGTGGTGAAAAAGTTCCACTCACACATTGCTGGGAATGGAACCACCATTTGACCCAGCTATTCCACACCTTGGTTTGTACCCAAAGGACTTAAAATCAGCATACTCAAAAATAGTGATGCAGTCACATCAATGTTTATAGCAGCTCAATTCACAATAGCTAGACTATGGAACCAACCTAGGTGTCCCTCAATAGATGAATGGATAAAGAAAATGTGGTATATGTACTCAATGGAATATTACTCAGCTTTAAAGAAGAGTAAAATTATGGCATTTGCAGGTAAATAGATGGAGTTGGAGAACATCATGCCAAGCAAAATAAGCCAGTCCCACAAAACCAAAAGCCAAATGTTTTCTCTAATATGTAGATGCTAATTCACAATAAGGCGTGGGGCACTAGGAAATAATAGCATTACCTTAGATTAGGTAGAGGGAAGTGATGGGAGGGGAATGGAGGGGAGGTGGGGATAGGAAAGATAGTAGAATGAACAGACATTATTACTGTATGAATATATGTGAGTATGTGACCAATAGGATTCTGCAACAAGTACACTCAGAAAAATGAGAAATTATCTCCCCTCTATGTATGATAGATCAAAGTGCATAAATGCATTCTACTGTCATGTATAACTAATTAAAACACATAAAAATTTTTTAAAAATAGGCAAGGCAAAAGTCTTGATGGTAATGCTATAAGCTAAATTACGACCCCCCCCCAACACCAAATCTCCCTGTGAAGCCCCGCCCCAGGCAGCCTGGCATGTCCTCTGTTGACCTCCCCTTTAAAGGGCTACTTCAGTTAAAATGGGACTTTTAAGGAGGGGCCTCATCTAATCTGATGAGTCTTCTTACAGGAAGGGGAGATTAGGAGACAAAGAGGGCCAAGAGGGACATGAACACACAGAGGACATACACATGAGGACACAGCAAGGAGGTGGCCAGCCATCTGTGAGCCAAGGACAGAGACCTCAAAAGAAACCAGACCCACTGACACCTTGACCTTGGATTTCCAACCTGCTGAATTGTAACAAAATGAATTTCTGTTTGTTAAGTAGCCTAATCTGTGGCAAAATAATGATCATCCGAAGTCACCTGAAGTTATGGAGCTGTTTTTTTTAAAACTTATCTATTTATTTATTTTATTAAATAGTCTTTAAATTATCTGGGCTTGGACCTGGAAATTCACATAAATAATAGATACATATTTTGGTCCCTTTCCTTTAAGTTCTGGTTCAATGACAACACGGGGGGTTTATCGTTCATTAAAAAAGGGTCCAGGGTCTGTTAGGTGAGGTGTCAGCAGACAGGATGCAGGACTGTGCTCAGGCTGCTGAGGGTCTGGGGTGGAGAGACAGGGGAGTCACAGCAGAATGGTCAGAGAAAAGCTACTGCAGAGGTGTCCAACGATGGGCCGGGAGGAGCCCACTGAAGAACATGGTGGAGTGCAGTGTGGAAGGATGAGGTCACAATGCCCTGGTGAGAAGGGAGGTGCTTTTCAGGAGTGCCCCATTGCCACGCACATGCAGTGGCCTGCCAAGGGTACTGACTCATCACGGTGGAGGCTGGCCCACAGGCTAATGGAGGCTGGAATTAGTCTTGACGCACTGGCTCTGGCAAATCCCTGGGCATGCCCACCACGCTGCTCTTGCCCCAGCTCTACTCAGCACACCCAATCAGGGAAGCAGCCTGGGTTCTTGATGAGCCTTCTACTGGACTTGGGTCTCTGCTCCCTTCCTCCCTCAGCCTTGACCTGGACTCCTGGGTGCCCCACTCCCAGGGCAAAATACTCCACTCTCGGCCCTGCAAGGGCCCTTCCCAAGCTACGGATTGTCCAGAACCTTGGTGCAGCCTCTGCTTGGCTCCAAACACAGTCAGTGTCTGGGAAATCCTCTTGCAGTGTCACAAACACAAGAGCCTCTCCATTCATCAAGCACTTACTCTGGGCGGGCCTTGGTTCTCAGCTTATTATACGTATTATCTCACTTGATTCCTGGAACAACACTGTCTGGTATGATTAGTACCTTCACATGACAGTAGAGGAGGCTGACTCTTCAAGACACCCGAGACCTTACTTAGCAAGTGGTAGAGCTTAGTGACCGGTAGACTCATGCTCAGACATTCTGATGCCAAGACCAGTGCATGTAACCACTACCAGTGAATCTGCAAACCCAGTGGACACCAGTATTGGCCCCAACAATGAGGCCTTGGGGTCACAATTTGCCATCCCCACCTCTGTAAGGAGCAGCTTTAGAAGGAATGAACGCCCTGGCCCTCTACGTTCCCGCCTCCCTTTCCTCTCCAATATTCCAAAGCCCAGAGCTCCCACCATGCCTCACTGCCAAGCCTGAGTGGGTACTGACCGGACCACCAAGGAGGAGGAGGAGCTGGCTGAGAACAAAAGCAGGCAAGGACAGGTGGGGCCGTCAGGGGCAATTACATCATCAGCTTATATTTCCCGTCTTTGGAAGTCCTTCCATATTTTAAGTCTCGGGTCGGCAAGAAATCCTGAAATATTCAGTGCTTGGGCGATCTCGGGTCTTTTCTGAAGGATTCATTCCACCAAGGAAAGCTGCTTCCCCTCAGCTCCTAGGGCCTTGGAGGCAGGTAAGGAGTGGGGAGTGGGAATCTCATTTTCAAAAGTAAGGCATGGGGACCAAGAGAGAGTCTCATCTGCAGTGGCCGACGCCATCGCAGACACCCCCACTCTCATCCCAAGCCATGGCAGCTTCCACAAGAGCGCCACAATGGGTCCCTGTGTGGCTGACGCTGGGAGACTGGGAGCCCCACACCGAGAGAAGATGTCATCGTGCTCTTAGGGAGGGTGGGGCTGCTGGGGGCTGCCCAGGCATAATGCACAAGTCCTGTGGGTGGCATAATGTGGAATTCATCTCCCCTGCTCTGCAGAGAGGGGACAGGCAGGACAATCCAGACTCTGTCAGCAAGGTCCTCCAGAGAGTTCAGGCCACGCTAATGAAGATGACTCAGAGGGAGGTCTGTCTCCCAGGGCTGCTGCCTCTGCCCCTCAGAGCCAACACATCCATATTCATGGGCTGGAAGGACAACGCCCAGGGACGGCCCATTCACCACCGAGAAGACGGGGCAGAGGTACGGCAGTGCCGACCCACGCCTGGGGTGGGTTGAGTATTGTGGGGTGAAATAATCGGGCATGGATTAGGGGACTCCGGGAAATATCCTCAGCTAGATGGGTTTTCCAGAGGAAATCTCTTCCTCCACCTGCTACAGACCCAACTCCTGGTCTGAGCGCAGGGACCCCTGAGAAAGATAGGGCTCAACGGAGTCTCAGGACAAAGCCCCACCTTTCTATTTCCTGCTCAGCTTCCGCCAACAAGAAGCCCTGGGCCCTATCTGTTCTTGGTTTGGTTTCATGGAATCTTCTGGAGGTTCCACAGGGGGTCACCGGCACACACAAAGGCTCAGAGCACATACTGCCTCTTGTCCTTTCAGCACACACTCTGGTTTTAGTAAACTTCCTTCCTCTGTGTGCTTCTCTAACTCGGCTCTTATGGCAATAAATCATTGCCCATCTCAGGCCTTCAGGATCAAGGGAGGCGACATGGGTAGGAGATCATCCTCCAGGGAAATCTGGACCAGGAACATGGGCATCGATACCAGGTTTCTTCAAAGGAGAGTAAATGTCGGCCTTGAACTTAGACCCCACCATTATTTTGAAGTCAGTAGATTTCTTCTAGACTCCTGGATATTTTGATATTTTAAATGTTTTATTCCCTGTTATCGCACACCTGCTTCAGTCCCCAGGCAGTGTACAGAAAGGATACACATTGACCCAAATAAATCAAATCACCTTTCTGCTGCTGGTTCCTGTGGGTTTCCACTGAGCCACAGGCTGGTACTTAGTGGCAAGACAAATGTCAAGCAGAGCCCAAAGAGCCTTACCTGCCTTTCTGACATGATGTAGAGCTGCTCATGATCCTTGGAGAAGGCCATGTCACGGAGGACCGGGCCAGGTTCTACCACCTGCACTGTCTCGTACTGCAGGGCATTGCCCCTGGGCCCATCCACCCGGATCTGCAGGAAGAAAAAGAGCAAAACCAATATGAGAACAGGCACCATGACTGCCCACAGCCCAGCTTCAGTCCAGAGACCTTCCAACGGCCAAAGGACAGTCAGTGAGCTCTGCCACCACAGAGCTCAGAGGCCAAAGCCAAGCCCATTGTGGCATCCTGAAGGGCATGTCCCAGGGAAGGGGAGGGGAGAGACCCAGCTGGGCTTCAGCAAGAACCTGGTCTTGTTCTCTCCTGTTCCTTGTGCCTCGCTGAAGTCTTAGAGCCCTTGCTGGTTTTGGGAAATAAAGGGTGGGCTGGTATGGGGTGGGGTAGTCTGGGGATTGGATTTTTCTTTGTTCTTTTTTTCCTTTTCAGCATTATTTTTAAGCTCCCTAGATATCAGGTGCTAAGAGGTGGCTTTGTACATATTCCTTATTGATATGATCCCCTCAATCCTGTGTGCTTAGTGCTCATTTGTCATGGCTTACACAGCCCCTGTCACATCTAAACCACCTTCTCCCACCTTCCGGGTGGGACTGAACCTACTCTCTGCTTCCAAGAGTTGTTCTTGATGAGCAGAAACAAATCAGCTTAATCTCACTCTCTCACCACAGTGATGGAGAGAAAATTGACTCAACCCATCAACAGGTGTGATCAGAAGAGACTTTTGGAACCAGGGAATGTCAGACACAGTGATGGGAAAACACATTGGCCCTTGATAATGTCCTGACCCCCAGAATCCAAATAACTCCAAAGCCTGCCCATTGTCTGAACTTGGTTGTTTCTTAAAATATTTCCTCATTGTTTATTCCTAAATCAATTCAAAGGCTTAATATCACATCAAAATCTTAGCTGAGAAATTGATATTGTATATAGAAAATGAGACCCAGGTACGTTAAACAGTTGCCTAGAGCTATGATATCTGCAGGTGGAATTAGAATCCAGGTCTGACTGTAAAGTCCCTGTTTATAAGAGAGGCCTTGTTCCTGGGGCTGAGGGTAGTTCAAGGTCGGTCCTGGTGGGGCCATCCAAAGGCAGGGGGGCTAAGGTCAGGATCTGCCTCTGGTCTCTTCAATTCCAGAGACGTTCACTAGTCACCCCTAATGTTGATGCTCAAACTCTTGTGCTTGACAAATATTTATTTTAAAGATGAACAAATAAATGAATAAGCTTAAGACTTTGCTAATTTCAGATTAAGCTCATGAAAATAATAGCAATGAAAACCACCGGGAAAAGAATCGAAGAGAGATTTAGCTCTGAAAAATCAAAATGCCTTGGATTCCCAGAGTCCTCGCGCTGTGCCCATTCCCAAGCCACCAGACGTCCACACCAGCCAGGACATTTCTTAACCTGAGTGAAATGAGAGTTCGTGCAAAACCAATTGGGATTACCACCCAAGTCTGACCGTGTGGTGATGACCTTGGCCCCTGGCCCAGTCAAGCTTCAGCCCCAGCTGGGAGGTGGCCCGGGGTGGGAGCAGAGAGTGATACTGAGTGCCTGGCTGCTCTCCAGTCCCCTTGGCCGCCAGCAGGATTGGGCTCCCATAGGGAATGCTGGCGGAACTAAGCCCCATCCAGCGTGCCCTTGGTCTGATCCCCAAAGTAAATGAGATTCAGTGCCTGAGTGGTCTTCTTATCATTTGGTTCCAACTTCCCTGCTCCCTCAGGTGAGGTGAAAGTACTGGACATAGTGGACATTAGAGGAAGTTAGTGACCGGGGGCAGGGACAGAAGGGTGGGCGAGGGAAGGAACAGGAGACACCCATGGGGTGAGTTTTCACAGCCTGGCCTACTGGGTCCCCACCATCCACCCTCCGCCAGAGGGTGAAAACAATCAGGAAGGTGTTTCTCCTCCCCCTCCCCCATCCACAGCTTTCCACAAAACAGAAAGGAAAGCTTTCATGTGTCCGTTTCCTGAAAGAATCTCACAAGGACATGGAAAAAAGGAGTTTATTATGTAATCTGCTGAACATTTGATGGGCAATCCCAAAATTCAGGTAGAATGGACAAGCTGCAGGCTTTGGGGCCCCTATATGGATAAAGGACAAGAATTGTTCTTTATTAAATGGCTACTACGAATCAGGCATTTACATCTCACAAGTTCCTAAAGTGAGCACGCATATCACCCCATTACAGGCAAGGCACAAGAGAGGTGAAATGACCCGTCCAAGCTCACACATCTAGTGAAAGGCAATCCCGGATCCACACCAAGTTCCATTCGATTTCAGCATCTGCGAGTTTACACGCTACGCCAACACACGTCCTGAACCAGGTCCTATTGGTTATGTAAATCTGCATCCTCTCAAGCAGTCAAAGTGGTTGATGTTAAACAAACATCACTCTGAGGGGTGGAGGAGGAACCAAGTCTTTATCCACTGCAGTTCTTTTGGGAGAGGAACATGCATATGAATGAAGATGCTGTTGTAAATTTTCAAAATAATGAGCCCTTATATTTTTTGTTTTATACTTTGCAAATTCATAAATAACACTGTCTCATCTGATGGTTATGAAATTTTTATGATGTTGACTGCCAGCATAAACCTTCTCGTTTTACTGATGAAGCAACGGAGACAGGAATTGTTCTTGCCCAAACTTCAATAGTAAACCAGTATCAGACAGGACTAGAACCCAGTTCTCCCATTTGCTAGCTCAGCTTTGGCTCTTAGCTATTTAGATGCTCCAAAAGCCTTTGACAAGGTTTCACCTGAACAGGTATTTAAAAATAATGAGTCTCGGTGGGACTTGGGGCAGTTTGGCCAAGGGAAGAGAAGCAATTGAGACAGGAAAGACACATTTCTGTGTGGAGAAGTAGAGCTGAGCACTCTCCCAACACTATTGTCTTACTTAATACTTTTTATAAAATGGTCTAGAGGAGAGAGAAAAAAAATTGCAGAGGATTTTGAGCTTTGAAGCCCAACAATGCACATAAACTATAGAAAGTTGTCCACCCTGGATGGGGCTGATGGTCAAGAAGGAGTTGACACAGGAGCAGGTAGATAGTCCGGGAACTGTGGTTCTCATGGGGCAGATGTCATGCCTGTCACATTCCCTAAGACATAATTGGTTCTCAATAAATAGTGACTAGTAAGTGAAAAATAACCACATTCTTCCAGCATTTTGATGGGCTCTGAGATGCTAGATATAATCAAGATAAGACACAGGATCAAGGAAAGGGACTTCAGTGTCATTATTTTCTATTCCTCTTATTCCCAGGGAGTCAACAAATGTTAGGCAATATTCTGCTGGGATTTTCAGGGATGAACAGACCAATGGAATCATCATCCTGGCCAAGTTCACTTCCAATATCACATTTGGTGTGCACCTCAGAAGGTAGCAACATGCTCCAGGCTAGGACAACAGCCCAGACCAGAAATAACAAGTTGAGAGTAGAGATGGAAGGAGACCATTAACCAATGTCCATGTTTCAGTCCGGAATGGGGAGGCCACCCCCAAAGGCTGGGAGGCAGCAGCCTAAACAAATGTCTGTTATTTGACACAACGTAGGTGATACGTGTGGATCACCTAAGCAGTGAGAAAAGATTAAAGCAGAAGTTGATGATTTTTTTGAAGGTAGAAAATGTAAAGAGACCAATTGTGGGTTATGAATGTAAATATGTGTGTTTTGAAGATGTTGTAAATTTCCAAAGTTGACACCCAGGGGGTAACCACATCCCAACCCTGCAAGCCCCTGAACAGAATGACACACCACATACTCATTTATCATCTGCCATGTGTTTGTTGAATGCCTGGCTTCATACCCATGAGGCCTGGTGACAAACTCTGTGACAGAGAGTTGTTCAAAGACCTCTGTTTGTTCTCTCCAGGAGCCCTGGCTGACTGACTGGGAGTCAATAGGTATGACGTGCCCAGCCCCAAGTAAGGCCAGTGGGCAGGGAGTATCCATGCAACATATAACAACGGGCCACCAATATGGCACCTGAGGGAGCTTAACCAAGAAGACACAGAGTGGGTAACATTGGATGTACTCAAAAGCTACCTCAGGAGTCAAAAATCTCCCAGGACACGAAGAAGAGTGGCCCATCAGAAGTAACAAAATTAGTGGTAATAACATCCTGACAGGAGAGAAACAGTGAAAACAGGAAGGGGAAGTCTTTCTTCAGCACTGTCCTGAGAAGGGAGTGTGAGCGGAGCAGACCTGAATGGCAATGTGGTCTCCGTGGCAGGGAATGGTGCCCCTCTAGGTCTTGCTTGAGCCCTAGTGGAATGTTCTAGAGTAGTATAGGTATATGTGAGCTGCAAATGTGGGTCACATAGGTCATTTGAAATTTTCTAGTAGAAAAAAGAGATGGGTAAAATTAATTTTCACAATTATCTTGTCTAACCTGTTGTGCCCTAAATATGATGTTAACAAGTAGACAGATATACAAGTGTAAAATTATCAATGGGATATTTTACTTTCTTTTTCTCATACTAAAGAATTAAAACCTGGCATGTGCTTTACATGTAGGACATCTCAACTGGGTCTTCCAATGTGGCTGCTGGCCACCATATTGGATGGCACTGTTCTAGACCATTCTCTTCCCAGTATTCTGATTCTATACTCACCAATCAACCTGGCTAAGAATTTGACTTGGTGACTCTCCTCCTGGGGAGGCCTCAGTGGAAACTTTGCCCAACTCCCCATCTTGACCACCGCATACTGGTGTCTCCCACCGACCCTCCATCTACAGCCTAACACAGTGTGTCTCACCATCCTCACGTTTTTGAAGCTCATGGGATATATGCACAAGTCAGCAGCAAGGTCCCTGCTCTGCCAAGCAAGTGCTGCATGGACCTGGTTCTAACCTTGCACTTGCCAGGCTCACTGATCATTTCCGCTCCTTCTGGGGCTCCTGCACAGCAGGTCCCCAGGACCCTGAGTGGCAGTCAAAATACTAACAGCTGCTCACAGGTGAGGACCAGCCAGTCACACAGTTGCTGTGGGAGCAGATTCTTGGAGGCTCCCAGCTGCCCCGAGTACCATTGCTAGGGAGAATGTAGAGGTGGGGGGACAACTAGATGGT